GGGGCTTCATGTCCAAGAGGGACCTCAATCACGACCAATACATTAACTTTATGATTCTAAAACTTAAGGAGGGTCCAGATCTGAAGTTACAACTTCAGATCTAGCCCATAGCCCAACTTATCAACCTCAAAATCCATGAAAAACCCCCAAAACTCAACAAAAGGAAAAAGGGAAGTAAGGATGGCAACTTGATACCTCCAAGGGATGCTAGCTGAGGTAATTTCTGCTTCCCACACCTTCCTTGCTTCAATTCCTTTGCACTTCTAGCCAACCTTCTTTCCAAGCTTAGGACACACCAAAAGGGAATACCACACGCATTAGGGTTTTTAAGGAGCTCTTAGAGGCTGCAAAGAGGCCAAAGGAGGCTGAAGCTCCTTTAAATAGGGTGCAACACCCCGGGATTTAGGGTTTCATCTGCCAGCTCCTACTCGCCGAGTCCCAATATGGACTCGTCGAGTAGGTCACTTAACACGCGATCCCACCCCGCTGCTACTCGACGAGTAGGTCAACCAACTCGTCGAGTAGAGCTTCACCCAATAAATCTTATTTAAACAATACCTGAGAATCGGGGCGTTACAGTAAAATATGTCTGAAGCTTTTTTCCCGTGTGTGAACTCATCTTCTGACCAGCCTTCATTTGACTCTTCACCATCTGACAAAGTTTTGTCAGCCAGTCTTACAAACTCATATAAATTTTCTTCTTCCACTGTATTCACTGCAACAGTTTCTTGTTCTGGACACTCTTCAACATATCAGATACAATGTTTTCAACATTATCAGATACAATGTTTTCAACATTATCAGATACAATGTTTTCAACATTGTATGGTACAATCTTCTCAACCGCTTCTGTCGGTTCGACCCATCCCTCAAACACCTCCAAATACAAATGCACAATCTCCTTCGTTTCAGAAATTACATTTCTGAGTTGATGAACATCTGCTTCGTCTACAATATTCATAACATACCCATGAACCGGGTGTTGAAATGACAATGATATATTACTATTGAACAAATTAGCCTTACTTTTGACCAAATCAAACAATATTCGACGATCAAAATTTGGCGGAAGCTGTATACCTAAGTTGTTAAACTTAGGTCTAACGTAGGTGTTAACCCCATTACTTATCTGCCAAAAACCCCCAGTACATAGAATAACAAAACTCATCTTTCTTTTGGAAAACAAATCAGTAACACTAAACAAATTTGAACGCAAATGGAGATAAGAAAATGAAAAAACAACATTTGTATCAAAAAAATCCGTCCAAAACCGTTCCAACCATTCATTCCGCGGAGTGATTACTATCTCCGCGGAGCTCCTCGTCATTCGCTCTGCGGAGGGATTAAAACCCCAGCCAACCATCCCCTCCGCGGAGGGGTTAATGTCTCCGCAGAGGACCCGCGGAGCAATTTTGTAAACAATAAAAAAATGTCACTTTTTAAGAATCCGTGGTGGAAACAACGCTCCGCAGAGGTCCGCAGAGGGTCCTCCGCGGAATGCGTGTCTATAGCCGGAAAAGTCATTTTTTATGACTAAATTTTGAAATTCACCCCCTTTTTTTGTCTATTGGCGGTATTATCCCTTTGACGGTAGACACGTTTTGTACGACAGAGTATATGTATGTGCGGCTGTAGGTGACGTTGTTAGAAGACATTGAGCCGGAATTCAGCAGAAATCGAAGATGACTCTGGTTCGTGCGACCTAGTGGTCGCTTCTGAAATCAAAGGGTATATATTCTCCTTAATGATGATGATGTGTCTCGTTCTATGTTGTCCACGTAGGAAGCGTATTTTAGAAAGACGTCTAGTTGCATCCCCACCCATATTAACCTGACCATAAACAAAATGAACAGGTTTTTGATATAGATAAAAAAAATGGTTAGGTGACTCCAATGTGGAAATGATTTCATTATATCTAACTACTAGGTTATAGCCCAAATTACTGGCTTATAACTTGTGTATTCTATGGCTAAAATATTAAAATATCTGTAAACTCATACGTTTCTTTTCCTTCACCTTTTCCAATACCATTCCAATACCAGAAATCATCATCTGATAAAAGGAACCGAGATAGAAGAAAACGAAGTTGATATATATATATATATATATATATATATATATATATATATATATATATATATACTAGCTGCTTACCCGCGCAATGCAGCGGGAGACAAATACTTTGTTTCGAGCATTAGTTTTTTTCGGGACCAAAACCATATGAACCGTAAATGTAACGAAAAAAAGTTAAGGACGAAAACCAAGAATCTAAAAAACCACCGAGACCACAAAACCGCAATTCGTATCGTACTTCACAAGATATCATTATTTATTTATTTAATTTATGCATATTGTACTTTTAATAAAAAGTTACATATAAATTTATAGAACATAAGTATTCAAATTATCTTTATCCACGTATGTTACGATTTATATATATATATATATATATATATATATATATATATATATATATATATATATATATATACAGTGTCGGACGCAGAAGGTTTTAGTAGGGGTGACACTAAAATTTTTTTTCCAAAAAAATCTAAATTAGTAGTGGCACTCGTATTTTAAGCCGGTACACCTAATATAAAAAACATAAAAAAAAAAATTACACTACATGTCGGAATCGGAGCAGTGGTCCGGGACCCCCCGGGCACCACTAAGGTCCGCCACTATATATATATATATATATATATATATATATATATATATATATAATATTGTATGTCTTCCTTAAAAACCATGTTTGTTAACAATTGATCTAAAATTCAAAACATGTATTTCATGCTTTCAAAAACTTGTTTCTTTTCTTCGTGTGCTTTCATCCCAAAGTATTATTTTCTAACCAATAACCATATAGGTAAAATGATATTGAGATTTAATCCCATGATAGAACCCATAAATAGAAAAGCATAGATCTAAAATGAGTTTTAAAAATGCATTACTTTAAAAAGAAAAAGTAAACTTACAGTTGTATATGATATTGTGTGATTGTCAATAACTTTAGGAAAAATAATTATCTAAGTAAAACTTTAACTTTCAAAGTTATGTGAATCACTATGAAAACACTTATGTTCCTCGCTTCAGGTAACATTATTGTATGACCAAAAATCTCATTTTCATACATTAATAGCATTTTACTTTAACTTTTTTTTTTGTCATTAATTGATTCGTTTGATGAATAATGAAGCAAGTGAAGCAGATCTTGGAAAGGAGCTACCAATATTTCCTTCACAATTGCCTTATACTCTTTACTAAAAATCCAACATCCCCAAGCTCACAATCCTACTAAGCCAATAAGTTCATGTAGATTATTTCTATACTTTGCAACCCAAAACAGTGTTGTTTTGTCCCAAAAGAGAATGTAAATAGAAAAGTTGCTAGTTGGAGCTGCATGATAAACATGTCAACCATCATCATCTTTCTAGTCTGATCTCCATATCCGTAATAGTGTCCATCAATTTCGAAAATGAACCACCCACCTTATAATGATTATTCTGAAAGAACATAGAATTGTATTAATAATAAAAAAAATCAAAAACTTAAAAGTTCAAGTAGGTTAATAGTAATATACCAAATTTATCGCATTGTATTTTCATTTTTCTAACATATGTCAAAATAAACAATCAATTAAAAAAATGCCCAAATGCATTACCCGTTACTGTTAAAAAGGCCTAGCATAAATAATGTACCAATTATGGTTATAAAAAAATTACTACATGTCAACCAAAGATGATTCTACAACAACTTTTTTTGAAATCTTACATCTCTCAATATTTCCACAAGCTCTTCGGGAGATTTTGCCGAATGACATTAGTTACTACTTTTTCTCAATGGTGTCCTCTGAATCATCAAAGGTTGTATATAAAACACTTGACTATGTGAGTATCGATATTTATTAACATTTTAAAACTTAACAAAAGAAAATAGCATGATATTTATACCATGACATTTCCTTTTACAATGCCTACATTTATATGGTTTTGTATCAGATAGAACACAACTTGCACCTGCCAATTATTACAATAATGTATGAAAAATTAAAATTAAATAAAAAAGGAACATTTATAAGCTAGAAGGGTGTAACATACAACAACCTGATGAAAGTTATTTTTCCTGCATTATGAGCACCCATTAGTCTAAGAGCAAATAATACAATTGCAACGTATGTCAAACACCATTAATAGTAACTGCAACATATATAGAACACCATTAATACCAACAATAAGTCTAAGAATAAATCGTTCCAGAATAAAAAAATTGTGCAAGTAGCTCAAGAAAATGCAACTATAAAACAAATTTTGGAAGTGTAGATTCACATCGAACCATTAGACTGGATACTTTACTTACATTTGTTCATTTTGTGTTATTGAAAAGATGACATCTAGTCTTGAAAAGGTGACCTCCAATCTCATTTCTATGTTTATCTCTCATAAGCCTTGCTATCCCAAAACAAAAAATTGTGAACCATCAGAAAAATCATGTAGAAAAAACTATAATAAAAGATGATAAAGAAGCCTATTTTCTCCACTGAAACATTCATTGGAGATCAATAACTCGACACAATGATTGGATGCTACTTGGGTTTGCTGGTAACCTATAACAAACAGTAAACACAAACAAACACCAGGATGGTCGATTAAATAAGAGAGAGAGAGAGAGAGAGAGAGTGTGTGTGTGTGTGTGTGTGTGTGTGTGTGTGTGTGTGTGTGATAGAGATAAGAGTAAACTCTCTTACTGGATTAAAGGGAACATCAGGTCATACAGTAAATTCTACAGCAAGAACAAAAGCCAACTAAATCACAAGATTATGTCAAACACAAAAAAAAATTGAAAAAAAGGAGATGAAAGAAAGCCTTACCTGATAGAAATCATCATAAGAGACGATGTGGTATTGTTCCTTAATAGGCTCAAGTACTCTACAACCATGCCATAGGCGAAGACGTTGGTGGCAGAGAGGAATAGGAGCGATCGATATGGTGGTGGTGACGTTAGGAATTCTGAAATGGAAGGGTAGAGAAGGCTTTTTCAGGTGATTGAAGGCGACAGTAAGAGGGAAAGAAACCCTGATGGTGCTGCCGATGCGGTGTTGTAGAGAGAGTGGTGAATGATCGGCGAAAGTCTAGGTTGGAGAGAGGTGGAAGGGGAGTGATGGTGCCGACGATAAATTGTGGCTTATGGTTTGAGATACAGAGCATCGTGGTGAAACCAGACACTCGCCCTACCTTCACCAAAGCATTAGAAGAAGAGGATAGAACCAGAGATGCAGTTGCCATAAGCAGAGGCGATGTGAAGAGGGGGCAGATATTGAAATTAGGGCAAGCCAAGTTATTTAACATAAATTCGAGAATGAGGAGAGTGTTGGTGGTGGTTGCATTGACTAATGAGGGAGATGACAGGGTCGACAACTTTCGTTTTTGACAGAATAAAATGAGAGTGTTTGTGAAGGAGATGGGAGCCGAAATAGTTGGGATTCAAGATGGGCCAGAATCGATTGATTTTAGCCGATATATATGGATTCTAAAAGGATTAGGTACGACTTCATTAGGGGCCAACTCAAAAGCTCTAGTGAAATAAGAAACCTATGCATTGTGTGATTATATTTTTTTGCTTAAACATTTGGACGATTTAAATTATAATATTATAATATTATAGGTTTGTTGTACTGTAAGCTTAAACACTTGGACGTCTTAAAAAAATATTATTATTATATTCAATATATTTATAGAAATAGTGAGATTTCTTTTATAAGATAGTAAATATATATATATATATATATATATATATATATATATATATATATATATATATTACTATATTATAAAGCATATTAGTCATATCTTGAATTTTAAGAGGTATAAGATACAGAGTTTCTTGTACAAATCAATTATGCATAACAAAATCATTAATATTTGCCAAAACTTTGAAGACTTCAGTTAATGAAGGTTATTAAAAAATTAATTGGAGCAAAATGACAAATTTAAAATATTAAATCCAATTATGTAAATTAGTTTACATTTCTTAAACTAGACACCGATAATAATTAATTTACATCAAATGTATAAACAAACAACGTGTAGACAAGTTCAAACTTGATGCTCTCTTATCAGTTAGAACCAAATAGTTTTCAAAGGATCTTCGTCTAGAGAGTATGGAGAGGAGAAAGGGGCACATGTGCAAAGTCAGACTATAAATGATTACATGAGTGAGATAGGGTATGGGAGAATATAACGGAGTAATTGATGTGTATCCCAAATAATCAGGACTAATTGAAATTTCAAATTTGAAAATAAAGATATGAAAAATATGAGTGAAATCGGTTGTAAGCGGGAAAAATAATTAGGCGATGGTCGAAAATGATAACACGTGTTATAGAAGGATGTAAAAAAGTGACACGTGACATCCATAAGATTTGTTTATTATAAGTAAGAGACTTATCACTCGTGTATTGTTGATATAATAAAAACAACATAAAACGATGAGAAATTTCATGAAATAACCATATCTTAAGGGGTGTTTTCACATTTTAACCAAAAAATTTTGAAATTTGTAAAATGACCATCAGATCCGCAGAGGGTGCTCTGAGGATCAATTAGTGGCTCTAAGGATTTGTTCTTGAGCAAAACATAGTGCCAAATTTTTAGGTATGAAAACGTAATTGCCCGTTTTTTGAATTAGTTATATGTTGTTAGGGTGTATGATAGATTGTATGAATGTATGATAGTTTAGTGATTAATATATCCTAAATTTTTGCCTGATTTTTGCCCTGGAAATATCGTTTCTACGAAGAACAGATCCGCAAAGGTGTTTTGCTCAAGAACAGATCCACAGAGCCCCCTCTGAGGATTGATGTTCATTTCTGCGAAATTATTAATTTTTTTATTTATTTTGATTTTATATGCAAAAAGGATTATTAAGTAACAAAAGTTATTAAAAAAGGATTACTAAGTACCAAAATTTATTAAAAAAATAGACTTGTTAATTTTGCCACTATGTTTTACTCAAGAACAGATCCTCAGAGCCATGAATCGATCATCAGAGCCATTAAGCGATGCTCAGAGCCACCTCTGCGGAACCCTAACCCCCCCCCCCCCCCCCCCCCCGAAAATTTTTGTCCCGCAATTGGTAGATCTTGATCACGGGGAATATATGAAGGTGAATTTGAGAGAAAAGAGGTTTGATATCTGAGAGAAATTGTGGAGGATTTCGTTCACTGGAAGTGTTAAATGATCCCATTTTTTTATCTTAAATATGAAGGAAAAGATAGGCGGTTGAGGTGATATTTACGTTGGTAAATGGAATTATCACATTGGGAAGTTAAATCACGTAAAATATCTAGATATTAAGGGGGATTTCGGCCAAGATAAGGTTGATTTCGGTCCTAGCATGACCGAAATCACCTTGGATGCCCCACAATTGGTAGATTTCGGTCTTAGTGGAGGAATCAAAACCGAAAACACAACTTGTTCCAAGATGCTCAAAACCAAAAACACCATGTGGTCCAAGATGCTTAAAACTGAAAACACCATTGATCCTAGATTCCTGTTAGGCGTGTCAAACCCAACAAATAAAGGGGTACGATATACTCCAAAAGAATCCCACTATATTGCACTAAAAGGTAGTACAAGACAAGTACGGTCGATCCACAGAGACACAGGACAATTGGTCTATGCCTCTTTGCACAAGGTACTATGGTCACCAATAGTAAAGAGAGGGGGGTTTAGAATGCAATGATTAAACAAACAATTAAAAACACAAGTAATCAGCTAAATGAGTGAATTAAATTCAGAATTTGTAAGGACTCCAACTCTATGTATGACAACTTAGCAATGTGATTCCAATATAACATGATATTTACTCAATTCTATCTAAGTTGGTACTTGAAAGTGTTAACAAGCTCTAACACTTCCCATTCACCACATTAATTAACCAAAACAAGCTCTTTGATTAACCCTAACCTTACTAACCTAATATAAACAAGCTCTTAAAATTAGATTAAAAGATTGCATTAAGCTTTATGTGAATGTTCCCAACAACACCCAATACTCCTCACAAGCTCGGGAGTGTAAAAGTGTGTGAAAATATTTACACTAAATTCATTCAATGGAGATCAATTTAATGCTTGTTACTTAGTCCAATTCATAAAACAATTACGGATTTTGCAAAATGAATAACTTGAATGACCTAACCCTAATTCAAATGGCCAATAAGAATCACAGTTAGAATCAAACATTCAATTGAAGCAAAATCAATTTCACTAGATAGAAATTTAAAGCAAACATCAAGTCATATGATTGAAATCACAACCAAAAAGTCAAAACATAAAGTTGGAGAAACTAGGGTTCTAGCCACACATGGCTAGAACAAAATCACAAGTTGTAAAGATGGAAATGATGTGCAATTACAACTTACAATTAAGGGTTACAACTAAGGGAAATAGTGTTTCCAAATGATAACCGATTAAATCATTGCAAAAACCTTCGAAATTCCTTCACCTAATGTGCTCTGGTATCATGTGTGTATGTAAAAATGACCCTAACCCCGTGATATGAAAGATAGGAAAAACTGTCAAAAGGCAGCTTTTGGGTCGAACACCGCCCGTGTCAAAATAGGCTAAACTGACACGTGTCGTGTTCAGCAGCCAACACGGCCCGTGTTGATTTGCACTAAACTGACACGGCGCGTGTTCAGCATGGTCAACAGCTTCTTCTTAGTCAAACACGCCCCATGCCCACTTTTCAGTGTAAATCCAACACGACCCGTATACTCCTCTGACTTCGAATCCAAACTTGATTTTTCCAACTTTTCCGTTCTTCGCTCGATCATCCTGAAATCTTCACCAATGCTTACCGGCACTTCCCAAAGCACGTTCTAACCTCCGGTTTACCTGAAAAGACATGAAAGTGTGCAAATAAGGTTGTTCTAGAGACTAAAATGAATATGATAAAATACAAGAAGAATGAAGTATAACTAAGCTAAATAAATGCATAAAAAAGGACTAAAAGGTGTGCAAAAAGGTGCACAAAATACACCTAACAAATCTCCCCAAGCTTGGACCTTTTTTGTCCTCAAGAAAGAACAAGAATCGGACGAAACAAGACGATTTCTAGATGGCAAAAAGAAACATAGAGCAAAAGGGGATGGAAAGATCCTAAAGGCTAGGAATGAATGCATGCAATGAAAATCATGAAAAAGAAAAATATGTACAAAAACACTTGAGAAACAAAATGAACCAAAGAAAAATTTAAGAACAAAAGAAATTTATTTACTTTTATAAATAAATATAAATACGATCAGACTTTTCATCAATGGGGCTCCAATCATTAATACCTAGGCGACCATCCTGCTTCCTTCCACATATCACAAACTCCAAAAGTGAGAAAGACCCGAAACGGTGTAACCCAATAATCCAACCTTAGTTGTATTTAAACTTTATACCTTAATTAGCTTTATGGGTGAAAATAACACAGTCCGGGATCTCATGTCCTTAAGACTAGATGACCAAGAATCAAAATCGACGCATCCTTAAGAACCCGTCACGGCGAATCAGCTTTCGCTGAAACAGCGAGCCCACCCGAAGGGGCCCGGCTCCTATGCTTTCACTTTTTCGAGAGCCACAAGTATCATATCACACAGTTCTTCTTTCGCCAGATTTGACTTTGAGGTGGCTTTTGATTTTGATTGAACTTAAATTTGTATCTTCGTTTTGAGCTTTGAATTCTTCAATCAACTTTTGAATTTCTGAAAGTTTCCTCGATTAAGTGCTTGAGTTTTTTTGAGGTACTGGATGTGACAATTGTACCCATTCTTCTTTCTTGACTGTGTGGATCTGATACTTAAGCTCTCAATTACCGCGAGGGTAACGCGTGTCAACAAATAGGTCCATGTTCTGTGGGTCCAGAGTTGCCGATAAAGATTCTTTTTAAACATTCAGAAGCAAATCATCCTAAAGCTGTTATTACCGCCCATAAAAACGTTTAGGTATGCCATTTTTTTTATCTAAGGCTGGGGTCTCGAATTACGGTGTTTGGGTCCCCTAGTTATGACAGCTGATTCTACACTTCCGGTAACTATCCGGTCGCCTTGGGTATTTTGTTTTTCATTTGATTTTTCCTTTTCCCACTTCATGGAGCTATCGTATGTACATATTTTTTTTTTCAAAATGAACATGAAAATGCATGCAATGAAAATGCATGGATGAACCTAATGTACAACTCTACCCCTCCCCAAGCTTAAAGATAAGCATCGTCCCCGATGCTTGGAGAGGGTGGAACAA